AGACTTAGGGAAAATCTAAAATGATCCAATGGATCATTAATTATTAAACACCATTGAGCTACTTTAATTTCTTCCCTTAGCATCTTCTCAAAAAATTACCTGCATAATATTGCTTGCTAGACTGTAGAGGGGAAAGAATTTACTTCGGTGGCCTCAGGCATTCAGCATATGACAGCTGATACGGAAATGGATGGCATCTCCCCAGTGAGGACTTCTGAGTGGTGACAAGTGATGTCAGAGAAGGGTTCTGCATCCCAGTGCTATCGACATGGCAGCAGTAACACGAATCAGGACTAAACTTAAATATAAGCCCAACATATTCCAAAAACAGCTGCTGTAAGATGTATTAGGGCAGTTACACTTATTATTTTTCATAACAAATGAGCATTATATTTCCAGCAGGCTCTCTATGTGCTGTCAGATACACTTTATAGAAACTATATGATTTGTATTGTATGTTGATTGTTAGTAACACTTTTCATAAAAATATGAGTGAGTGGTGAACAAGTAATAAGACACATTTAAAAGGTTGCACAAGCAAATTGGAATTAATGGCAAAATATCTCAGGGAATAAGATTCCCCGAGACTTAGAAAGGTAGTTCTATAATAAATAAGCACTGGTGGGATGTTTGCTGAAAACCCTTATACCCGAGTATCATACTCTTTCAGTCCTGACAGAGAGCTTGGTCTCCGTGGGGGTTCCGTTCTTTTTAGATGTCATAAAAGATTTTTCTTCCCAAAGCCCTTCCCAACTGAGATGGAGTTTATGTAAGAACTGTAGCTTAGATGACCTTCATGCCAAAGGAAGTCAGCATGAAGTTGGGCAGTAGCTCCAGCTCAGCCACTACATGGCTCCGTGACTTTGACCAAAGTGGGTTCCCCTTTGGGTGGGGGGAGGGGGTGGGCTCATGTCTCCAACTATAAAATGCAAAGGTTGAGCTGATGAACTGTTGTGGTGATGTTGGGCACGTTCAGTGCTCCATTCCATAAGGGTTCGCTGAACACCTACTGTGTGCCTGGCCCAAGTCTGTCACCAGGGGTTCATTGATGAGCAAATCAGACCTTGCCCCCTGGGGATTAGATTTTAATAGGGAAGAGATGTTTCTTAATCAAATAACCACACAATTAAATGTGTCCTCCCAACCTTGGTAAGTGCTGTGAGGGGTTGGAGGAGCACATGGGGCTAGAGGGGCTCATAATAAGGAGATTTATCTTCCCCAGGAGAGAGATCAGAAGGGGCCCACGATGGAGGGGGCAGGTCTTTGAAGGCATAGAGGTGCTTCTTTCTAAGCCCAGCACAGCTTCTTGGCCAGCCACCTTATCTCTGCTTCTCCATCTCCTCGCCTCTAAAAATGGGACTGACATCAGGAACGGCTCACGGTGTTGTAAGGTTTCAGAAAGATGACATGTTTCAAAGCATCCAACACCAGGCAAATTACATTTTGTTTTATTTCTAAGAATAGCTTTGGAAGCAAAGACGTGCTTCCAAAGACCTATGAAGACATGAGTCTTAGACTGTGTAGAAAGTGAAAACAGCTTTGAGGCGCCCCTTTATAAGGAAGTCTGAGTTCACATTCCGCCCTGGAAGGCGCCTGGCTTCCCTTCGCCATGGAGCCATGTTAGAGTCACTTGACTCTGAAAGACCAGGAAGGACCTTGCTGCCTGATTAAGTGTCAGAGACCCGAACTCCGGGTGCTGGAGAAGGTTAGACATCCGGGCCTGCTCCCTTGCCGTTTATATGTGAGGAAGGGAGGCTGTTCATGAACGACAAAACTGGAATGAGGAGGCAGCTCCCGACCCCACGGTCCTGTGCTTCTCTGTATTGTCTCTCTATGTTCCATTTGGAAACTATGGATAATTTCTGACGTGACTGGGCTACTTTCGAGGGCTTAGGCCATTCCTTCTCAAGAGAAAGCAAGCTTAGCACGCCCTCGTAACTCCTCCAGGCCTGAGGATTACTCCTGTAATCTTACAAAAGCAAACAGGAGGACAGAAATAACCCATCAATTGTTTAAAATTAAGATGGCCAACAATAATAAGTAACTACCACAATAGCTTGAGGTCAGGGTCTCAATGTATTGGAGGCCATTCAAGAATTTGAAACTTTTCTCTAAGTTAATTGTTCACATCTTGTTTGGATCCTCAGAGCTCTCCCTTCCAAAAGCAAGGCCATCATTGCACATGTTATCCTTGCCGAAGTGCCGGGGCGTACAGGAAAGTGAGGTCTTCTCTTCATGGATGGGAAATGAGGACTGCTCCCCCCTACCCCCGAGGCAATCTGTATTTCAAAGGGTTATAGCCTACTGAGATTTTGGATATATCGCCTCTCTTTCATGCTCTATTTGTTGTATTAATGGTTGCAAACAGCAATAAACATGTGTTATTTAAGTAGAAGAAGAATTTATTGGAAGGATATGGGCTGATTCAGAGCATAGGCAGGAAGCCTGGGGAACCAACATGAACAGGAAACAGGGGAGACCAGGCTTAGCTTAGGATACCACCCCTGGAATCTCAACACCGGTGTAGCCACCTCAGAAGATCTCAGAGGACCCCAGGGTCTTTGTGCAACTTCATGGCCCTGCTTGGGAGCATCTGCTGGCCATACTAACTACGCTTTGATCTTATGACTGCGTGCCCAGTCAGGTGCCCACACGTTAGCTATCAAGAGGAGGGGAGAAGGAGGGCCTACCCCCTTTCTTCTGATGTGCCCCTCCCACCTATTTTGAGATTCCTCCCAAACAGAAAGGTGTCAGGATGCTGAGCAGAGAAAAATACCAGACTCTCCATTACATAAACTCTGATTAAGCTTAATCACATCATCCATTAACTGGTTGGCCCAAGACGGGCTACCAATGTGAATTTGTTTTGTCCACAGCTCATGTCACACAACAGTCATCCATCTCATGTGCACCTTCATCGTTGTCCTCATCCGCATTGTCCTCATTCCCTTGTCCTCCATGGATGGCCTGCTCACTCCCCCACATCCTGGGCTGCCATTTCCCTTCTTCTCTTTGCCCCTCAAGTGTTCCTTCCTCCTCCTCTCCCTTCCCAGTCTTCGACCCTACTTCTGTTTCAGTGCAAAATGGAAGCAATCACAAAGGAACCTCTGCTTTGTTTCTAACACCCGTCTACTCACATGTCAGTGCCGTTGGCTCCAGTTTCTCACCTTGTGCTGGCTGAGGCCAGCTCCTCCATTTGTACACCAGGTCATCCAGCAGTTGTTCCCTGTCATGTCATTAGTTGTTCCCTCTGTGATACATCCTTCCCATGCTCGTGCAAATATGCTACGATCATTTCCATCTTAAAAAAACAAAAACCGGTTGCCTTGAGCCCACTCCCCACCCCTGGCTGTCATCCTATTTCCCTACTCCTCTTTACAGAAAAACTCCTCCAAATAGTTGAGTGCACTCACTGTTTCCATTTATTCTGCTCCTCCATCTCTTAAGCCAATTCTAGGCTTCCATCCCTATCACGCCACTTAACACAGTTCTTAATGAGATCACCGGTGACCTCCAGGTGGCTAATTACAGTGGCCAGTCCTAATTCTTCATGTTATTTTGACCTGTCTGCCGCATTTGACAAAACTGATTACTCCTTCCTTGGAACATGACTGCTGTGGCCGCTTAGATACCATCTCTCTTGGTTTTCCTCCTACCTCCCTTGTCATGCTTTCTCTTCTCCTCCTCACCCACAACCCCTAAGTGTGAGACCTCTTCTCTATCTATGCTCATGCTCTAACGATCATATCCAGTCCCTCCCAAATGTATATCTCCAGCCCAGACCCTCCTTTAAGACTTAAACATCCAGCTGTTCAACACCTCTTCTTAAGGATCCAGTAGCCATTTGGATTTTTTCCTGCTGAACCTTCCATACCCATGGTCTTTCCTGTCTCAATGAAGGACAACTCTTCCCTTCCAGTTGTTGAAACTAAAATCATTGCAGCTGTCCTTGATACCTCTTTTTCCCTAATACCCCTCACCCGATCTGTGAGCAAATCTGTTGGCATAACCTTGGAAACACATCCAGAACATGGCCTCTTCTCACTATTTAAGTGTGGTCTGAGCTGCCTCCTGGGTTACTGTGAGAGCTTCCCAACCAGGCTCCCTGCATCTCCCCGACCACGCACTCTACAGACCGTTCACATCACAGCCAGTGTGAGGCTTCACATGTGAAAGTCAGGTCACACCACTCCTCTACTCAGAGCTCTGCAGGAATTTCATCTCAGAGTCAAACCAAGGTCCTTGTGACAGCCCCAAAGTGCCCCATATGATCTGTCTGTCCCTACTCCCTTTGCCTCTCTGAGCTCATTTCCTCCCACGTTCCCCTTTGCTCACTCCTCTTAGCCATTCTGGCGTTCTTGCCAGTCCTTGAATGTGCCAGGCACAACTTTCCCTTTACTAGTTCCCAGGTGTCTGTGCATCTTGCTCCTTCTCTTCCATCAGGTTTCTACTCAGAGGTCTCCTCATCAGTGAGGCTTCCCCAACCATCCTATTTAAAATTACAACCCACTCTCCCTCCAAATCTGGCATTCTCTACCCTTCCTACCCTTTGTGAGTTTTCTCTGTAGATCTTATCACAGTCTGACCTGTATGGTTGCTGCTTTGTGTATGTGTTTTCTGTCTCCCTGGAGCTGTAAGAAGGCAAGAGCTCTGTTTTGTTCACTGTTCTCTCTTCTAGCAAATAGAATAGTTGTGATTGGCAGGTAGTCAGTACTCAAAAACATATGAACGAATACATGGTCAGATTCTGTGTCTAGGCTATTAAACATCTTACAATTTTCTGAGATTGATGGGAGCCCCAGAAGAGCCTAGTGAGTTAGGCTGTTAGATGAGGAAGCTGACTGCTTGCACAAGGATGCATGGCTGGTTAATGAGGTTGCTGGAACGTATGGTTCTGACCCCAATGGAGTTTCTGTCCCCAACCCCAGCTACCCTTTGATGTCTCATATTATGTTAGTGAAAGCTTCAGAGCACTCATTGCTGCTTATTTTTCCTTACAGCGTTGATGGGAAAACCCCGTATCTAGCTTTGGGGGCTGTAAAGAATATCTCCCTAAACATCTCCATCTCAAACCTCGGGGACGATGCCTATGATGCCAACCTGTCCTTCAACGTTTCCCGGGAGCTCTTCTTCATCAACATGTGGCAGAAGGTAAGGAAGGCACCCCTGAAAGAGAGTCTTTGTTCCATCTGGAGCGTTTTCTGGCTTTTATCATAGTTTGCAATGTGTAGTGATTCTGCAAACTTTTTCACTCTGTGGGGTATCATTCAGAACTATGAGAATTCTTTCCCCCTGAACTTAGAAGCTGCATTGGAGCAATATCCATCTCTCACACTGTCTCCCTTCCTTGCTGTCTTATGGAGCCTTCTCCCTACCATTTTATGTCTGACCCCTTCTCTGGACACTCGTGTGTTCTAGGGAATTCCAGTTTCATGTCAGTGGTTGTGAAAAACAAGATAAGGAATGAGGACAGGTCGCTGCTTACTATGCTTGTTATCATCCCTGGTGCACTTGAGGCTTTCCATTAGGGGGTTGCTTTGGCATGTTTGCTTATGATATATTTGAGTGAATTGAAATGAAATTATTTTCATGAACTGAGTGAGTTTTTCAGATGAATTCGTGGATGTGAATAAATTAAGTAGAATGACTCGGAAAGGAAAAAGGAGTTGGTATTCTCTCCTGTCCCATAATTCACCTCAACGAACCACCTACAGGAAGAAAAAAAGAACGAGTCTCCAGCAGGCAACAGGAATGAGTGGGCTCAGACAGACCTCACCCTCCCTGGTGGTTGCTCTGAGTTTTGACGGCAGTTTTAAAGGCAATTCTTGGAGCTTTTCAGCGTGTTTACAACATGGAACTGCAGCGCCTTGATGTCTGTGTTAAATGGAACCAAAATCTCTTTCTGAGGAACAGTTCCTCCCTGCCCATAGATAAGCACTGGGAAAAGCTTCAAGCCAGTGGGCAAACTTCCGTTCAGACACAGGTCCTGGCAGTTCAACAGTTTTGATAGGATTACACCAACCTTGCCCAGCATAAGGGGGCCCTGAAGCTAGAGAGTGACCTGAAATGCTCACACTCCAAAAACTTCACAAGAGGTTATCTCAGACTCTGCTGCTTAATAGCTTTTAGGAGCACTAGGGTTGGGGAGGCGACAGAAGCAATCAAGAAGGACTATGGGAAAGGCATGCTTCCCATCTTCTACACCCTAAAAATGATCCCGGTTTAAGCCCAGTCAAGAGAGAACCAAGTATCTATAGGGTTCTAGTATCTCTGGCTCCACATAGAGTGTCTTCTACAGCATGTCCTGTGCCCTGATGCCATCTTCCTGTAGGTGGTGGTGGGAGAGGGGCTCACTCAAGGACAGATCTGTAAAACTCATCTCTGTGGTAACCGAAAGGATGCAGTTGGTGACTGTGTCATTATGTGGCAGGTTCCTCTCACTTAGGACCTACGGGAGAAATTTCTCTCTGGTCTCAGAATTAGGAATAGTTGTGCTTTTCCCGAGTATTTTGGCTTATTTTTACCTGTAGACAGTCATCCCTGTGAATAGGCTTTGTTCTCTCTGTTGTCTGCTAGAAAGTTCTGAGCTGGCCCCACTCTGTCGGTATATAGGATTTGGTGGTAGTATTTCACAAACTGTGTAGCTTCCTAGATCCTATTCTCTTTCCCTTCATCGTAGTTTTCTTTTTAGCTTGGTGGCTGCATAATACTCTGTCATAAAGTATACTATGGAATACCCTCAAATTCCTGTTACGTAGATATTTCATTCCAGTTTTTTCCTCTTTAATACTGTGATGAATGAGAGTGCCTCGGTGGCTTAGTCAGTTAAGATCCAACTTTTGGCTTGAGCTCAGGGCATGATCTCAGGGTCGTGGGATCAAGCCCCATGTCAGGCTCCCCACTCAGCTGGGAGTCTGCTTGTCTCCCTCTCCTTCTACCCTTTCCTCTCCTCACACTCTCTCTCTTGCTCTGTCTCTCTTAAATAAATCTAAAAAAAAAAAAATACTGTGATAAATGTCTTTCACAGAGATTGCTATGAACAAATTATTTTTAGTCTTGTAACTCTTTGGGGAAAGCAACATAGTGTTTGTTGACTACCTACTATATACCAGGGGTCTTACATACATTTCCCATGCCCTTCTGCATTCAATCTGGTTGCATCTGCCATATTGGTGGAATGCTGCCGGGGAGAAGTAGGAGAAGTAGGATGAGGCAGGGATGGCTAAAGGTGTGCCATCATAAAATGTAACCTTGGTCTGATTAATATAGGGTGTGAAGAGATGGAAATATGCCCAAGAGCATAAATCACTCAACAGAATTTTCTCCTCTTAAAGCGATAGGAGAGCATTATTGCCACCCCTGTATCATGTTGAGCACCTTGAGGGGTGGTAGGTAGCCCCAGGCATTCTGGATGAGGGGTCTAGTCAGGTGAGGACAGTGCACCTGAAAAGCCCACAGATTAGTCATCAGCTATCATAGCTGATCATTTTCATCTTATGTACACTGAATCCCAACAACTTTGGGACAGGGAGCCCCAGTTTCAATTTGTCAGAAAGATGACAAGGTATCAGGGGCTCCTCAGGATGTGGGAAGCATTCGTGTAAGAAAGGTTAACAGGGCACAGGGACATCACATAGCTGCCCCTTGGGCAGGACCAACTAGAAAAACAGTCATGAAGACCATCAGTGTAGCAAGAGAAGGGAAAGAAACAAAAAATCCTCTCCTGTGTTCACAACCACAACTCTAAATGGAGATGTAAATGGCATCGCTCAGCCCAGAGCAGGATTCACACAGCACCCAGATGAGTGGTAAAGAGGAACCAGGAGAGCCCACTCACCCTGCGTAGACCTAACATGACCAACATGGACCGTACAGAAACATTCTAACACATAAACTAAGAAAAGTGCAACTCAGGATACAGAAGGAAAGCATACCTTTTAGAAAGATTATTAATAGAAAACAAAAGTAAATTTTATTCTAGCATTCACTTTTCTTGATTAAATTCAAGGGGAAAATGAGCACAGTGAAAGATCAGATAGAATGATAAGCTGGGATGAAAAGAGAATGAACTTAGAGGCAAACAAAAGTAAAGATTGCAGATAAGATAAGGAAATGTAAGAAAACCAGGAAAGCAATGGCAGAATTAAAATGTGTTATAATCAGGAAAGAGCAGAATTAGCAGTAGAAAAAATTGTTTCATTGTTACACAGGGCATATTTGAGACAGTCTCTGAGAATTCAGAAAAAAAGAACAAAACAATGAAGAATGACTGTGAGAATTATAGAGGTGGAAGGTGGAGACCAGAGAATCAGCAAAAGGAAGTGGCTCCATAATTGCTGGAATAGAAGACATGAGTAGACAGCAAGGAAGGATCGCCATTTTCTTGAGTGAGCTCCGCAAACACCCTGCAACAACACTGAGAGCCCTTGACTGTCAACACAGAGCTTCATGAGATTTTGAATTTGAAAAATATGAAAGTGATGGTACTGATACCTAACAGAAAACAAAGAAACCAGTGTTCCATAGGCTTCTTTTCTGTAACAGAATTAAAAAGTCAGAATAGTTTCTCTTGTGAATTAAGAATTCTATACCCAGCCAGCTTGCCCTCAATTGTGAAGACAGAATAAAGATATCCTTGAATATATGAGAATTTATTAAGTCTATTAACTCTCCTGGTTTGGATTTCCCCAAAAGCAGACCCCAACACAGTGATGTAGGTATAGGGAATTTCTTTGGGGGAATGATCTCTGGAGTCACTTTGTGAGAATGATGAGTTTAGACGAGGAAGGGAGGAAAGACGGGGAAGTGTGCACGGATAATCCGTGAGGAACTCGGGCTCCATCCCACTGCAGATCCTCAGACAGGCTCTGTGGAACACCCTTCAGAATCACTCCCAGGGGTAAGGAGGCTGCTAGGGGATTTCTCCACCAATTCTTACCACTCATCTACAGGGAAGCCCTCTAAGGGCATCAACTCTCTGGCACTTCCAGCCTTCTCTGGCTATGGGCCACACTCCAGCAAACAACTCCGGCAGTGAAAAGTTGGAAGCCTTTGGCCTGGAGGGTGCTGGCTTCAGGTGACCAGTGCTCTAGTTGGTTCTAGGGAATGTGAGCAGGGCAGCATCTGCTTCAATAGCTGTTAAAGCTTTAATAAGCATGAAACTGTTCCTGAGAAAAAGGGCACTTAGAGATAAAGCACCCAAGAATACGTTATGAAATAAAATGTTAAGGCCAAATAAACATAGACATAAGCAAAAACAAATTTCAAAAGCATTTAAAATAGTAAGCAAATATAAGAAAAATTATTGCCACAGTAAATACAAAACTTAAAAACTTAATAAAAAATAAGTTTATGATATCAGTTATACCATAAAAATTTGAGAAGAAACTTAATCTCGTCACTCTTCCTGCCTCACATTCTTCAGAATGGAGTTCAGACTCCTCAGCTGTTCCCTGAGAGGTCGTTCTGAGGCCCAGCTTCCTGCCCTCCCTCTTCCCCAGCCTCATTGCTCAATATCCCCCGCATGCTCACTTGAATCCAGTTACAATCCAGTCCTGGGAGCCTCTCCATCCCTGTTTTCTTTAATCAACTGCTCTGCCCTCAGATCTCACCTCAGATGCCTCACCTGGCTCCCCCGGGGATGTGGGTGGGAGGGCGGGGGGCTATCCCTCTGTCCCAAGCTATAAGGCAGCTCAGGCCCTAGACCTCCAAGGTCTCCGGTCTTCTGTGTCATCACAGTTTGTGATGTATCTGTTTCTGAGACTGAACAGTCACCCCGAAGATGGACTTTTCTGTCCTCTCGAACACAAAGCTGCTTTCACAGATTCATGCTGGCTCTTTCCTATAAGGGAAGATGGCTTATAAAAAATGTGGGGTGCATATGGACAGCCATCTGCTGGCTTTCCTCTTGCCTCCGTAAGCTAACTCGAGAACACTCTATAAAACAGGACTTCATGCGTTGGTGGCCACCGGCTGCTTGGCAGGCGGGCTGGCTGGGGCACAGCCTACAGTGGTAATAGAGTGGCCTCCCTCGGAGCAGTGTGCAGGATCCCTAAAGGGCGGGGGAGCGGCACAGTGCAAAGGGAGAACGAGGAAGAATGGAGAAAATGCACGAGAGCACATCTATATCCCCCAACCCCACGGTCATGTTC